TTCTAACCATGGTTAGAAGCACCAGGTGGAAGGTGGAATACAGGAAAAAAATAGGTGGACTTGGAAAGAGATACTATATATATATATTTAAAGTCATATCAGGGGGGCATACCAGGGGTTGTGACTTTAAATATATATATATAGTATCTCTTTCCAAGTCCACCTATTTTTTTCCTGTATTCCACCTTCCACCTGGTGCTTCTAACCATGGATAGAATCTTTCCCAAGTTCTGCAGGTTTGCAACAGACAATCCCAAACCTCCGTTGGCCAAGCCAACCCATCGCGGACCCAAGTCCTGCATCCCGTGGTCAAGAGAGCCTTTGGCCATCAAGGGCCACCTGTACCCCTCTTGACACCCCTCAATCCAGAGCCGTTACCTTGTGTCAGGGACGTGTCCGATGCCCTGCGCCCCTCTCGGAAGCTGACCGGGGAGCGATTGTGGGCTTCCCTTTTCTGGGCCGCCAACGCCTGCATCGCCGGATTGGGCGGCCTCAGGCCAATGAAAGAGGGGTTCATCCTGGGAGCTGGTGGGTTGGCCAGAACCATTTCCTTCAAGGAGGAGGTGTCTTCCAGGAAGTTCAAATCCCTCTGGATAGATCCCATGTCGTATTCCGAGTCAACGCTGCTCAAGGGCTGGTTCTCGTCCATGGAGAAGACTTTTCCTACAGGGCCCGAGAAGAACAGCAAGAAACAGAATTAGCCACCGTCCTCCCACCAGGGTCGTCGTCTGTAAAGTCCTAGAAAGGCAACTGATGACTTTGCGGGACCTACAAGAGTTTTTTTCTCAGTATTGGGTTTCACTTATAAGCTACTTTTGACCTAAAGAATGTGGCCAAAGTTTCTCCTCTAACAGGGCTCTCCAACCTGGGCAACTTTAAGACTTGTGGACTTCAACTCCCAGAATTCCCCAGCCATCTGGTCCTGCTTCCAACTGGGCAGAGAGAGAGTGAGCCCCCTGCTTCTACCCCGCTGAAGGCAGGCAGCAGAGGGAGGGCTCATCCGGCATCCTCTGGAGCTCTTCACCAGACCAAACCAGACCTTGGTTTCAACACTCGGTTCAAGCAGATGATCTCCCTTGGCCCCTGGAAAATCCGTAGTTGACATGCCTGTCATGGCTTTAGAGGGATGAGCCTCCTAACAGGCTTGCTCAATGGTGGTTTTGGTAAATCCTACTTCTTTCTTTTCTTTCTCTCGCCTTCCTTCCTTCTCTC